ACTGCTGCGAGTATGACTTCTTACGCTACTGCCACCATTGCTGTTATTACTGCTTCTCCTGCTGTCCCTGCTGCTGTTCTCACTGCTATTTTAAAGGTGGGTGGGTGGGTGGGTGGGCGGGCTGTTGTTGTGTTGTTTGGCGTTGAACACTGTGATACCTCAAGGGGTGACTAACCTAACCATACACCTTACACCAAATTAATCCCATCGGTTTTAACACAAGACTATGAAGGACTTACAAATTCTTATTATAACTGGAAATATAAATAAAAAAAATTATATAAAATGTTTGATAAAATATGATAACAAATAATTTTTAATAATCTAGAAATATTAGTACGATAATTACAGTTTATTGGTACTTGTACTTTATCACACTGCTCCCTTAAGGTAAACACTACCTGGCTGTGCACCTGGTGGCTCTGATTGCTTTATTCCTTACTCGAGACAAGCCAGGTGTGGACTGTGCTCTTGGGGGGTGGGGGGGGACTTGTACAAGACGCGGCCATGAATACCTGTTGGGAAGACACGAACGAAAGAGGAATTATTGATAAAGAGTAAAGACATGTGGGAAGGAAGGGAGAGTTTTGAGTGAAGGATACTGTGAGACGAGAGGTTACACACACACACACACACACACACTTTGACAACATAACTCAAGGGCGTCATCAGATGTACTCCTCCACCTTGCCGTAAAACAAGACGCCCTTAGAACCTGGACCTGAAGTATGAGTCTCAACTAGTCCTCCTCCACCACAGGTCCCAATACGTATAATCAAGACTCCTTTTATAAGACCAAGTTCGATAACCTATAATTTGGATTCACGAGAGTCCCTGATTAATCTGCAAAATAATACTAACACAAACAGCCTCCTCCTCCTCTCTTCCTTATTTTCCTTCACCTCCTCCTCTCCTCCTTCTTTTCCTTCACCTCCTCCTCTCCTCCTTCTTTTCCTTCACCTCCTCCTCTCCTCCTTCTTTTCCTTCTCCTCCTCCTCCACCACCAACGTACATTAATAGTATGGCGAGGTCACAGAGTTCATTTAATGATCTTTACACCTAGTGGCCCCCAGCCCCTACACCCACCTCTACACCCTAGGCCTACACCCAGCCCCTACACCCACCTCTACACCCTAGGCCTACACCCAGCCCCTACACCCAGCCCCTACACCCACCTCTACACCCAGCCCCTACACCCAGGTTAGGTTAGGTTAGATGCGTCAAACTTCTTACCTCCAATAGTCATCGTCGTCTGGCAGGATATAAAGTTTTAGTGAAGTAACCGACCAGAAAAATGCTTCCCTCAGCGTGTTTGGCGACTGAACACAGGAGTCGCCTCATTCAAACATATTTTAAATAACCTTTAAGTTGCCAATACCGCCTTATTTTTATACGTTGACAAGACTTAAAGAGAAACCATTGAATTATTACGTTATATAAACGAAATTTGCCTAACCTAACCTAACCTAACCTTACAGTAATCACAAGAATCATAAATCATTAAAGAAATATACAAATATGTATGAAAATACAAATACATAAACCTGGCACCCCGTGTCTCAGGTCAGTAGTGGGTGCCAGTATAGTGCCTGACACCTCTGGCACTGTAGCGTCCAAACTCTTCTTCATGCTAAAAGCTCTCTCCCATTTACATCCGGGTGGCCTCTTTCTAACCTCTCCTACCTCTACTCTTACCTTTCCTCCCTGTAACCTCACCTCCTCCCTCTTCCCTTACCTCCTCTCTCTCCTCTCCCCTCCCCACCTCACCTCACCACACCACACAAACACTAATGGAACGAACGAACACCTTTGAAAATACCTATTCCTCTCTACCCATTTTATTTCATATATAAAACCTTACACCTACGGCCTATACCCATCACCACGACAACACTTCCCTGACACGGCCTAAGATCACACCACCTTCTAAGATCACACCACCTTCTAAGATCACACCACCTTATAAGATCACACCACCATCTAAGATCACACCACCTTCTAAGATCACACCACCTTCTAAGATCACACCACCTTCTAAGATCACACCACCTTCTAAGATCACACCACTTTCTAAGATCACACCACCTTATAAGATCACACCACCATCTAAGATCACACCACCTTCTAAGATCACACCACCTTCTAAGATCACACCACCTTCTAAGATCACACCACCTTCTAAGATCACACCACTTTATTAATGTCGTATTAGTAGCAATTTTATTCCTTGGGTGGATGTCGAAGTCTTTAAGGTGAGGTATTAAGACCCACCTGAGGATCCTAGATATTACCACTTAGATGAGGGCTATTAACATCTTGAGTGTCTGTCTGTCTTGTGTGTGTGTGTGTGTGTGTGTGTGTGTGTGTGTGTGTGTGTGTGTGTGTGTGTGTGTGTGTGTGTGTGCGTGTGTGTGTGTGATTTAGTTTTACCCAAGAGACGAAGTTGGAATCTAAATTAAGCAAACTTTGTTTTTTCATTTTTGTTTCGCTATATCGTTCT